TCATTAGACTGGAAGTTGGCATTTATCTAAAGATCAATGGTAGCAATCCAATTACATTCAACGTGGACAAAGAGAGGACAGTCTCAAAGGGCTTTATAGATAGACAGATAGACAGGCTGTACTTCAGAAGTATGAATTTCTAAAAGCTGAGGAAAAGTGTGAACAGAACTAAAAGGAGCTCCAGAAACACAAGTGAGAATCTAAGCTCCTGAAAAATACTTAGAAACTTCATTTCCACAGTAAACTTGCCCCCAAATTTGTGTTTTATATATATGAGACCAAAACATAGCAATTGACAATAGATAGGCAAATAAACACCAGTTGTTATCAAGCTTGTAGCCTCAGAAAGCAGGTAATGATAAAAAAAAATGGTAATATTGTTTGAAGATATTCATTAATGCAATCAGAAGTACGTTGTGTCAGGTAACAAGATTAATGCTCACCTCCATGAGTATCAAGGAGCAATGACAGGGTGGCCTCAATACTGAACTGAAGACCCCCAATCCCCCTTCCACATCTCCTCTCAGGGCTGACACAGGAGAGTTGCCATCCCACCGTCCCCCTGCTGAGCCCTTGGGAGAATCTGTCCCTTGGGCCACCTCAGAGGCTGGGGGACTTACATAGACCCTTCTTCTCTGGGTGTGGGTCTGAGTGTGGCCACCAGCCTGGCACCAGGGGCTGCAGTGCCTGCCTGCCTGCAGCCTGCAGCTGGAGAGGCCCATGCATGGCTGCATTGGGCCCAACTCCATGCACAGCTGCTGCAGGCCTCGAGTCAGAGCAGCCAGACAGCAGAGCTGGGTCTGCTGAGAGACCAGGATAGGCAGGGGAGAGAGCAGTGGGTCCGTGTGTTGGCTACGGGAGGGAACCAGGAGGTCTGAGCCAGCTGCCAGAGAGACCCATCCACTTGTGTGCATGTACGCGCAAATTAGGGTTCAGCAGCCAATGACAGTCTGTGCTCACAAGAAGCGCCACAAACAGGTGGTAGGAGCTCCTGGGTGAAAATGGTAGCATCGCTTGTCAGAAATATGGAGTTGCTCAAAATATTGCTGTTCTGAATTTGGAAAGAAAGCAGTACACTGTAACCAACTAGTAACCAAGAGGAATGTTAAACAGTACCTACTTAAAAAAAGAAAAAATACTGGATCTTAATTTTATTATTTTCATACATGCCTATAAATACATACAAAACTCATCAAAAGAACACTCCATACCACGTGTTTGTTTTTTGTTTTTGTTTTCCTCTAATTCAATGCAATTTTAGAATGTTTTCAACACCAGAAAGTTGGAAGAACACCGCTCACCAATATTCAAGAAGAAAAACATTCAGTAGTGCTGACCTGGATAGACTGGCTAGCCAAACATCAACCCCATGTAAAATTGTAGAAAAATGAATTCAACTAATATAGAATAGGAAAAAAAATAAAGAATTAAAGACAATAAAAATCACTTTACAGAAAATAAATCACATCAAGGCAATCTATCTAAAGGAGGAAAACAGGCTATGTTTTGTCAGTGAAGGTAGGTTCAGAGACTAACATTCTTGGATTTTTTTGTAGCATTTTTTGTAGCACTATAAAACATTCTTATTAAAATGATCACTGCAGAATATGCCACACATTAGATGAGATAACAGCTAGCTTGGGCCAAGAAGTACTTGTCAGATGGTGAATATTTGCTGATGGGAGGTTTTTTTTCAAAGGAGTCTTGCTATGACTGGCAATAGCTTTGATCCTATTCAACATTTTCATTGATGAATGGACTAGAATGAACAAAATCAGTGACACTTGATTAAATCTGCATCCAAGACAAAGATTGGTGGAATGATTAACAGCAATCAGAAGCGGGATGACAGGAAAATAATTTGTCTTAGGACTACTCAAAAAAATATGCTTAAATATATGAAATTCCACAAAATGTGGAAAAACAAAGAATACATATGCCACCCATATTGTGGTGGAGAACAAGGACAGAAGTGGCTCCAAAATAGCTTCTGAAGGGACAGCCAACATGCTATTCAATAAATACTCCTTTGGTAATATTGTAAGGAGAAAAGGCTATTATAACTTCTGGACATGTAAACAGAATAAGTAGGACTGATATTGGCATGTTGCCAGCAGGTTTTCATGACCAAATTTTGAGGAAAACATTAGAAAACTAAAGACTGTGAGGAAAAAGGTCACAAAAAGTTGACTTTGAGAGCTGAAAAAAAATGCAGTGAAGTGAAAAACTTTAGCAGCTCAAGCTGTTTAGCTTTAGAGGGCCAACTGAGAGACTTGATTACAGTATCTAAATACTTTTAAAGAGAAAATAGGAAGCTCTAAAGGATTCTTTAATTTAGCAAAAATAGATATAACAAGAACCAAAGCTAGAAATGAAGCCAAATATGAAAAGAGGCATCAATTTGTAAATGCAAGAGTGATTAGACACTGTGAAAAAAGTCTAAAGGAGAGTCCATCTTCATTTTATGATGTCTTCAGATCATGAGTAGATGCCTTTGTGAAACACATTGCTTTGACAGAGAAGTTATTTTTTAAATTAATGTATTCAGTTAATAGCCAGCCTGGGAATTAGATCCATAGGAAATTTCTATTTGGCCTGCAGCTCTTTTCTTACAAAAGGATGGCTATCTGGCTTGGGTATTGACTTTCTTGTCCATGCTTTTATTCCCCTGCTTCTCCAGTGGCAGAAGCCCAGCTCAGCTTTGTTACTGCAGGAGAGAGATTTCTGCCATCTGCTTCTGCTCCTCATGGAAGGTGCCAGTTGATCAGCCAATATGCAGGGAGGGGGAAGAAAGATCCTTGCTGCTGTCAGGAGGAGGAAGAGGCCTGAAACCTTGCATTGTCCTGGGGCTACTAAGGTCAGACCTCCTTGCATTACCTCTATTAATTATTGAACTTCAGAACACTCTAGCACAGGTATTTTAGTTCATGCCTGAATTTATGCATAAAATCAAGCCTAAGAAAGCAGATTTCCTAACATAGGAAATGTGGGTACCTCATTTATTAAAGGGAAAAAAAAAAAAAAAAGCTAACAAGCTAACCCTTTTTGAAAGACTCTTGGAAAGGGCTTGTCCAGCTAATCTAAGTATCTACAGCTAGGCACAGAGGACCCATCTCTGGAGATAAGCTTCCGTTGCTCTCCATTGACTAAGCAGAGTACTTAAGACATTAAATTTAGAAAGTTGATTTGCCAGACATTCTAAAATGTGTAGGCACAAGTTAGATTCAAATTATGTACAAAAAATCTCATCTGAAGGTTGAATCACCTAAGATCTCCTACCCTTAAAACCTAAGACTGTGAATATCATTCAAATGAGGTGAGGCAATGCTTATAGGGAACAATAAAATTTTAATTTACCAGACTAAGTGATGTATCACAGATATATCACCAATAGTACTAACTACTGAAAGAGTGAAAGGGACAGAGTACACCCTCAGCAAGTTTAAAGACAATACAAAGCTAGGTGGAGTGGCTGACACACCCGAGGCATGTGCAGCCATTCAGAGGGACCTGAACTGGCTCAGGAGTTGGGCAGAGAGGAACCTCATGAGGTTCAACAAGAGCAAGTGCAGGGTCCTGCACCTGGGGAGGAACAGCCCCAGGCACCAGTACAGGTTGGGGGCTTATCTTGGGGGGACCTGGGGTCATGGTGGACAACAAGTTAACCATGAGCCAGCAGTATGCCTTTGTGGCCAAGAAGGCAAATGGGATCCTAGCCTGTATCAGGAGGAGTGTGAACAGCAGGTCAAGAGAGGTGATCCTCCCCCTCTACTCAGCTCTGGTAAGGCCACACCTGGAATACTGTGTGCAGTTCTGGGCTCTCCAGTACAAGAGGGACATAGAACGTCTTGAGAGGGTCCAGTGTAGAGCTACAAAAATGATTAAGGGATTGGAGCATCTGTCTTATGAGGAAAGACTTAAACGAGCTGGGCCTATTTAGCCTAGAGAAGAGGAGATTGAGAGGAGATCTTATCAACCTCTATAAATAGAGGAGGGGACAATGTAAAGAGGATAGGGCCAAACTTTTCTCAGTGGTCACCACTGATAGGGCAAGGGGTAACAGGTATAAATTGAACCACAGGAGGTTTCATCGCCATATGGGGAAGTTTATGGTGCAGGTGACAGAACACTAGAACAGGCTGCCTGGAGAGGTTGTGGAGTCTCCTTTGAAGATAATCAAAACCCACCTGTATGTGATCCTGTGTAACATGCTCTAGGCAACCCTGCTTGAGCAGGGGGGATTGGATTAGATGACCTCTGGAGGTCCCTTCCAACCTCAACCATTCTGTGATTTTTGGATTTGGGTTTTGCTTTTTGAAGAGACAATGCACATACACATTTTTTATTTTTAAGCATTCTTTTTGTGCCAAGAAGCTGTCAAATTCAAGTATGTTTACACTATCTCCAAAACCTAGCAGTTGTTTCCAACTTTCTGTTCACAAACATTTCTGAGGAAGGACAGTTTTCTAACCAAACACCTATAACAGCATAAAAGCCAGGGCTTCTGTACATGAACAATAGGATTTGCTACCTACTACTTGTCTTGCACTATTTCTTACACTATTTAGATATGCCATCAAGATACACATGACACAAAACCTAGCTATTGAATAGCTCAACTGATCACAATATATTGTATTTATTTTATTTATTTTTTTTTAAATCCAGGCTATCCAATAAGCATTTATGAATAATGTACATGCTCCTGTGCTCAGAAATTGTTCACAAATGATTTGTGAACAGAAAAGAGCTAAATCTGCAATATATATTTTTTATAATAACCCACTCAATCAGAATTACTTCTGGAAAGATTGTTCAGCATTAGCTACTCATCATATCATGTACTTTTAGGGAACATATACTTGTAAGTGGTCCATAAAAAAAAAAAAAAAAAAAAAAAGATAATTCAGCGCTATAAAGTAATTTAGGACATGCTTTTAAATATATGGTGTTTAGGAGGACATCTAAACACCCTCACAATTCTAAAACATGCTTCATTGTCCAAATAGGGCTGAGATTTAAGCTGATGCATAAGTGTTAAGCAATCAATTCTTGTAGACACAGCTTCAAAAATGCTTCCATTTTGTCTGGTTGAATTACAAATGAGTTATTTCATTAGCAGAATTATTATTTTGGGATGAACTCCAGAACATTAAAGCTTTACGTTTAACCTCCATTACGGTCCAGAATTGAATTAACCTCTCTTTCTCATATAAAAGTAGCTAATGCACTTTTCTTGTAAAATGCAAATGTCATTATACTATGTTTCACAGAAAGCACTTAGAAAAATTCAATGGAATTATGGTTCATAATATTTCAGTGCATTCAATTAAAACACTGCATTTTAAGAAAATCAGTTTATTTTCTTTCCTATCATTGGTACTGACACTTGGAATAACAAGCTAAAATATCAAATCAGTTTTTCAAGGCAGAAACTCAATGCTGCTGTAACATACATAACACAAAGAAAATCTTCAGAATCATTTCAAAGTCCCTCTGGTCTTGTGTTTTGTTTTGGTTTGTTTTCCCCCATTTCCCATTCTGAATTAGAAGACAAATAAGAAAAATAAGATATAAATTTGCATGTTACTGAAAGCACACTGAATTAAATTTTTTTAATGTTATATAGTACTTACAAATTCAAAGCAGATTTTTGTGATTGCAAGTTTCATCTTTGTTCTGACTGAGAATGGAAAATTTCTACATGTACTGCAAAGAAAAATTCTAGGAAAAAAAAAAAAACAACACATATATCAATTAGTAATTTCATTGCACATTTTAATGCTAATATATTTCTTTTAAATATTACATAAAAACAACCAAATAGAGAAAAACAATCAATATGGGAAATAGAAATTTGTATATTAGAATAAAACAAGAAAGCACCATTGATGTATATTAAAAAGTAGCTAAGAAAGGTCAGACTACCTTACAAAAGTTGCTTATGGTCAGTTTTATGTACTGTCACTTATTTCAGAAGGAAAATGTGTAAGGATGCAGAGTACAGATAAAGAAAGAACAAGGTAATTTATAAAATATATTGGTTTATTATAAGGATACTGTCTCAGAGACTGGCAGATTCTTCCACCTGTCCAGCAGATAATTAAAGGAATATTTTCACATTTTCTTTTCTTTCTTTCAAGTTTATCCCCCACATTGAAATGCAGCTCTTACAGTTCTGACAAGACATTTAAGAGGAGTTAGTCTGTAAAGCTTAATTGTTTGTTTTCTCTTGGGTGTCTTTTGTTCTTGTTTTGAACCATTCATTGGAGTTGGCTTTCAATTATGAGCTGGAATTCAGATCCTTGTATAGACAGACCTTACACTGTCCATAAATTCTGGAATTTCACAACCATCAGACAGACTCTGTAAAAGCTTTTATGAGGAAATATGGTTTAGGATGGAGACAGCTGGTATTTAAATTATCCATGTGAGAGAAATTACTCTTATTCATTCACCAGATGCTTTATTCATATATAGATTTTTAAATTAATAATTCCATAATACTTATAGCTATATAATCCTAAAATCCACATAGTTTTGCTCAATGACCTTAACCAGCTTTGACATCATTTTTTTATTTCTTGCAAATAGAGAAGGGGATTTTGCCAACTGCCATTTTGATGGAACATTACAACAGATGTAAGAAAAAGAAGTCAGTGACCACTTACCAGGCAAGTAGAGTTCATCAAACCATTATTTCTGCCTGTACTCTAGGTCAAGACTCCACATTCACTCAACTAGGAAAAATATTCATACCTGCTAATCCCATGCAATGTCTAACCCTACTTCTCACAAACTGTTCTGTGATATATATTTTGAAATTCATTACAATATATATTGTAACATATTCACTATGTTACATATATACATATATACAATATATATTGTAATATATTCATTACATATATATTTTGAAATTCATTCATGGCACCGAGTGCCAAAGATATCTGTAGAGACAGGGATATATAGAGACATATCTATTAGCATAATTGGCCAATGAGAGATTTGGGGAAGAAAAGTAGGAAAAATAAGAAATAAACAAAATAAGATGTTTTGCTGGAACATTCTAGGAGATGATCTTAAGTAGACATGGTTGGCATTCATGGTAAATCAGAGGTAAAAAAGAGGTAGAAATACAGTAGGTTATTTTGAACAGGTATTCACTGTAAAATAAACCTGTAACAGCAGGGCACATTGTTGTTCAGAAAAGGTTTATTCAGTCAATATCATGTTGTTTTTCTTTGCAGCACTGAAAATGATTTTTTTCCTGTTCTCTTCTTTCTGCTGGAATGCTTGATCAAGATTTAGAGCTTAGTGATATGGTTTAGTAGAGGACTTGTTAGTGTTTGGTCAGAGGTTGGACTCGGTGATCTTGGAGGTCTCTTCCAACCTAGATGATTCTGTGATCTTGATGATTACAGTTTCCTTATTTCAGGCCTTTCTACGTTTTATTTGTCTTGGAAAGTGCTATATTTCTTCCTCATTTTTAATCCCTGTACTGATTAAATTCCACTTTACAAAGAGTTCATAAGCTTTGTCTCATGCACCACACAATGCCACTTACCACTTCAGCACTTCTCTTTCCTCTGCTCTTGTGCCATCTTTCACATATTCACATTGTTTCATGTAAAGGTCAGTCATCACCTGAGTGAATCAAAATACATAGTGTCTTCACCCAAATACTCCTTTAATGTACTTGTCTGTATTCACCAGAAATCATTACAATATTAAAACAAAATTTGAATTTGAAAGCTACTCCAACTCAGGACTTAATGTGTATATTATAGATACTTAATATCCTTGGCATCTCTAAATGGGAATCTGCTTAGCAGTTTATTTTCTTCTAACCATGCCAAAAACAACAATTATACATGAATGAGTCCCAGTTTCCCTTCCTGTTTCTTAACACAAGGATTTCTCCCTGGGCAAGGTTGTCAGAAGGACATAGTCTTGAGAATCAAGGCTACAGTAACAGGTTTCCCAACTTTAAAGGCTTAGAAATATGTAGCTGATACTGCTAGAGTAAGTTAATTTATTATTATTATTATTAGCTGCTCAGGTGGCTTCTTTTTAGCAAATCTACAGAGCATCTAATGAGGCTTAGGCCCCAGGGAGACAGCATATTGATATGTGGATATAAACAACCTTATGGACTACCAGTGGTCATGGTGGCATTTTCTGCCAGCTCACACTAGTCATGGCTCAACATTTGACCAAGACTTTCACTGCTCTTCCAAGTCACTCCATGGTTAAGAGCAGTAATAATTTGTTAATTGAACATTCAAAATGGCAGCTATGATATGAGAATGCTTCATGCTTGAAAAGTGGAGGTTTTCAGTCAGAAAGCCTGTATGAACCTCCAAATTCCTGAGCCTCTATGATTCTTGCCCAAGCTAACAGAATACCTTCCTCCAAAGCCCTCTCAAATATCTGCAGCTAGGCATCAACCCCAGTACATCTGCTAATTTCCAACTCTGCAGCAAGACTTTAGGGATGAAAAGCAACCCTAGTTGCCTTCTTAATTTTTATAAATGAGATAGTTAAGCTTCAAACACAGGCCAGAATCATGTCATGCTGAACTCATCACAGAAGTTTCACCCAGGCTTCACCTAGGCAAAGGATATGATTTCATTCATCAGGACAGAAAGACCTAACTAGAGGGTTTCATGGGCCCATCTGATATGGCAGTTGTATATTTAATAAGTACTTCTACTTGGTAATAATTTCAATGCATGTCAGACTACTAAATGTTGAAGCAACAGTCATAAGTCTACACTAGAACATCCCATGATTACTTGATACCACCAAAGACACAGAAAAATTATGCCCTGGAATATTACTATACAACTCACCCATCACAACCTGAGCTTGTACAGCTGTCTGAAAAAAATGCTTTTGTCAAGGTAATTTTCCAACATGCAGCCAGCATTACACAGCATGACCAAGAACAGACAAAGGGTTAGTAACAGATAAACTTCACATCCCACCCTCTACTCCAGTCATCTATGTTCTCTGATTCAGTTTTCTCATCTCCAACAGATACCTTTACTCTCCCAATGCACTGATGTGTTATAAGAATTAGTCAGTGTCTAACTAACTGCTTGAACATTTAAAGTGCTATTCTTCAAGTGTTAATATCTCCAAAACATTTGGATATGATATTATTTATGTTTCTGACATTTGCTTTCCATGTTTTATTAGAGCTTGTAAACAATGAAAAATGACTGCTGCCAGGCCATATTACACACTTCCCTGAGATGATTCAGGCACTCTCAGACCTTTCACGTTTGTTGAAGTCATAGCCACTTAACAAATTTATTGAACTACTTTGGATTAGACCCTTCTGAAAAAGGAGAAATAACATTATTTATCTTACCTAGTGTTCCTTTGGTGGAAAAGAATTAGTTCGATATTTTTACAACAATAGCAACTTTAGTTCTTTGAATGAAGAAAGGAAGTTCCAGTTCTCTGCAGCGATCACTGCCCTGTTACTTTGGTTAAATAAATGTACCCAGAGTACGATGACAGCTTCAGCAGCTGGGTGCAAAAAGGTGATCTCTGATCTGATGCTCCTGACTCAGGCTATTTTATGCACAGTGGAAATTGTCTGCAGATAATAAAAAGGAGAAATAATAGCTCTGTAGAGATGGTTCTCTTAGATGTTTTGGAAGACAGGTCTATTCCATTCATATACTTTGGAAAAACTACAAATTTTCACATAAAATAGACAAGCTTCATTATTTCCATGGGTGCAACTCAAAATGCAGTAGTTGCAGTCATGTTTTCTGTCTTTGTTTGATGTGTGTGCACATCTATGCATATGAGTGCATGTATTTGAAGTGAAGAGTCTACTGACAGCCTGTCCATGTTACTTTCCATTAGCTTTGCATTCAAGATAATGTCTAAATACCAATCGTCCTGATTTATAAAAGATTTATTAACTTTGTCACACTTGTTGTCTCATACTGGTAAAACATCTTTTCTCTTTGAATTTCAAACTGTATTTTTTGCCCTATGGACAAAATAAATTCATTCATCCTGTCCTTCCCATTTCCAAGCATGCATGCACGTGCACAAACAGACACATACCCCTGTGCTTTCATATAGGTCTCATCCCAGGAAATCCTATGATCTGAACACGGATGATCACACTAAAACAGTCACCATGCCTTTACAATTTAGAAGAAGGTATCTGGTCCAACAGATGATATTTGCAATGACACAACTTGGGGATCTATGATATTTTATCTTGAAAAAACAAACAAAAAACCAAACAAACAAAAAAACAAACAAACAAAAAAAACTTTCCTTCTTATGCAGAACAGCCAGGAAATGGAGACCAGTTAGATGAAACCTTGATTTGTACCAGCTCAGGAAGTCATTTCTTGTTCTCAACATTTCTGCTTAAATTGTACTAGTTTAAGAAAATTGTACAATTTAGTTGTATAGTCCACACAACACCAATGCTCAACTGTTTTGCATAAACCTATATCCACAGGTTTTCCTGACAGAACTTTATATATGTATAAAAAGAGAGGACATAAATGATTCTTCCATGATCATGATCTGGAATATGGGTTAGGATTAATATGGAGTACATACGGAAGTTTTGTATAGTACTGAAACATATAATCTATCAAAAGGCTAATTAATAAATGAAGGCACATACATAACACACCTAAGTCCAAATGTCAACATTTTTGGCCCTCAAATCCTGACACACTGAGTTATCTGTAAAATTTCCTGGATTTGATTGCTAACATACACATAGTTCAAGCACCAACTGAACTGAAAAAAAAAAAAAAAAAAAAGTCTAACATATTCTTTGTCTATGCAAGGGATATGAATGATATGTAATTATGTCTTCAGCAACTACATGAGTAATTATCTGCTTTTTCTGGATCTTATTAACAAATTAAGGCTCTTCTCATATTAACAGCTTTCCAGATCACCAACTGTGCTGCTCTGGCAGTCCTGTTAATAAACATCCTCATATCACAAAAGGGTTTGAGGACCAAAGAGTAAATCTACCTATATAACTAGGCAACCTGTTTTATTCTGATGGTTTGCTGCAGGATAAGACTTAAAGAATGCCAGTAGAAATACAAACATGTTGACATGCTCCAGAATGCACTGGGTATTTGTTCCTTCTGCTATAAAAAGCCAAAACATTTGGATTAACGGCTGTCCATCTATCTTGAAAGCTTGACATCTACCAAAGCCCTTATTAGTCCCTCAGAGACAGACAAACACTGTATATCAGTGTTTGACACTAGGTTGCATCAAGGAGCTAACACAGCAAACAGAGGCAGTTCTAAGTATTTGGACACCTATGGGAAGAAAAGTAACCACTAGCTATGCTTTTGTTCTAACCACAACCTATCATGATGTAAATTCATTTAGAAAACAGCTTTGATGAGGGACAGTAATTGACCTTCTAGATATTGATCCAGGTAGTAGCAAGGGCTATGTGAGACTAAAAGATCTTCTCTGCCTCAGCTTCAAAAATTCAAGGATGTTGTTACAATGCACTGCTCTATCTGAAAGGCATGCAAGCTTTCATAGCAGTAGCTACTTCTCAACCTTATTATGTGGGCCATCAAGATCACTAACTGATAATTTTATCTAAGTTTATCTTTTTCAATCAATGACACTAAAAAGAAGCCTGCTGACAGTAGTTTTCTAAACAAATAGCAAACAAAAAAGTCAAGTTATAGAAAGTGCTGAAGTAGCCTGTGATGAGTCAGTCTGGAAGCATCATTTTAGGACATCTACATATTGAGTTGGCAATTATAATATATGTCAATGAGTCCAATCAGAACAGCTGAAAAAATAAATATCAAACCTCACATCAAATTGTTGTAGACCAAGAATTATTCAGTGACTCATTCAGACTGGAACTAGCTCTGAGAAGTCATGATCTCTTGTGGGTAATTCATAAAGAGAAAAAGGCCAAATTCATAAAATTATTCATTATAAATTATTCACCCTCCTTTTTGGAGGTATGAAGTGTAAAATTAAGTGTTTAGTTTTGATTAGGTGAGGAATTGAACATCATAAATACAACATTTGACTCAATAAATCCTAGGAAATTAACAGGTTTTGGAGGAAGGAGAATAAACTTCTTTTGCTATCACTCTTGAAACTTGATTAGCTGTTTGCATAGTGAACGTGTACACAGAGCCAGATCCCAAAAGATGCTGAGATTGCATAACTCCCACCACCTTCAGCTGTGGTTACTCGGCACATTTCAAGTTCAGCTGCAAAACAGCATATGCGAACTGCTAAATCTTTTTTTTTTTTTTTTTTTTTCTTCCCAGGAAAAGCTCATGAAATTAAAGAAAGCAGTGATGAATGGTAGCAAAACTGTGTCTGAAATGTCACTAGCAACCACTTCCCTTCCCAATCTTCCCTTTTCAGGGCATCTTTGACACTTATTAAGCCAGAATTATCAGCTTCACAACTTTTATCACTGATTTTGTTTTTTCATGTGAAAAAAAAAATCATTTCAAAGAGCTTTGTTTTTTTCTTAAAAATATTTCCCTCCTCTCCTGCTCACTGCCCCATACACAAAGACAAATATGAACCACATGGCTTCAGTCTTTGCTAAGACTAAAATGACAACAACAAAAAAGCCAAGTTTGAGGATTTTGTGTTTGTTTGTTTGTTTTCTCAATAACATTTTTGAAATTACATTTTCTGATAGGGCAGCTTCTGAATATTTTTCTTTAACCTTTTAAAAACACACTGAAGATTTTCCTTGCCCCTGTTATTATTTGGGTAGTTTGCTTTTAGTTTTGTTGTTGTTGTTGTTGTTTTCTGGGGGGGAAAGGGCAGGTTGGCACTGGCATCACATCAGAAGCATCACATTAGACACTATCTCCCATTTCTTTCTTTGCTCTTTCCTGCCTGCTGCTGCATTAGTTTCATCTTTGGTACCACTGTTACCAATAAACACTGTGACAGAGTGCTGAGTAAGAAAGTAACTAAAGCACTGAAATGCTGCACATATTAACTACTCAGAAAAGCATACAAATATTTTCCTTTTTAATCTCCTTCAGAGGTGGCAGGAATTGAAGTCAACTTTTAATACATGCTAACAGTGAAATGTACATATATTTTTCTCATATGAATGTGCTTTTCTAATTATTGCCCTTATAAAGTTATGGGAAGGCAAGAAAGAAATTAAAAGCTGATGTGAAAGCATGATACACCACCCTGTTCTGAACAAAACTGAGCACAGAGAAAATCGATGAAACATAAGGTCAAATGATGGCTGTACTTTAGAAGTTGTGCCACAAGTGCTTGTCTCCTCAAACCCACAAATGAATTCTGGGACATCTAAACACACTGCTCGGAGAAAAGGGATACAGAGATGCACAACAATTTGGGAAAAACAGATGGCTAGGACAAGGACAAGGTCAGGAGAAGATTTGGTACTGTTCATATTTAAACTGAACCAGCTTTCTCATTCCTTTGTGAAGCTGAATCACTTCTTTTCATACATCAGTTCTCCTATGGACTCAGTGGTGGGCAATGAAAAGAGAAGCCCATAGGAATGAATTGCTACTGACAACCATTGTTAATGAACGTGGCCCTTTCATGAGAAGAAGAAACCTGCCATCCTTTCCAGCCTCCCAGAGACTTCTGCACCCCCTCAAGGTGCTTTTACAATTCTCCTCAGCTCTCCAAAACTAAAAGGAAACTTTTCCAAGGTTACAATAGTTAGAGTCGAGTTTGATGCATCTTATTACCCTGGGCTAAGGAATATTAAAATATGACAAAAATGAAGCATTTTCTTTCAAAATTACTTTAAAATATTACATCTCCTAAAAGAGAGTTTGTAGGCTCTCATTTGTTTCACTTATTTGCAAATCTACAGCTTTTCCTTAGGAGGAAAGAGTCATCTTTTCATTAGCCTTTTGAGGATGAAAATGCTGTAACCAGTTCAGCACCAAGTGTTCCACTCCAGTGACAGGGCACTCCTTTGTACACTGGTTGTTTTTCCAACATTATACATGCAATTTTAGCAATAAAAATTAATTCCCATCTGCTAGCTTTCCAGAACTCCATTTCATAACCCATCAACTTATGAAGTAAATTTAAAGCCTATCTCCTGTCAAAAGCAAACAAGTTTTTACCCTTACCCTGAGACTTTGGCATCTTTCCAGCCTAGATCTACATTTAGCAGCAATATTAATTTCTGTTTCCCTCAATTGCAGCTGTGCAGGAATAAAAAAGTCATTTTTCTACCCCGGAAGGATAGAACACACTTTTTAATTTGTTACTAGATTAAGCTAATGACAAAATACTGAAATCATTCCTTGCAACGACCTGGAGTCAAACTGGAGAAGGTAAGTGCACTAAGCCATTGTCCAGAATCTCTTCTTATTTTTAATAAAGCAATAGTTACACCTGTCAGGTGTAACACACAGAGAGCTGTACCTCACAGCACAGGTGTCAGGAGCCAAAACCACATTTCCACATTGCTTAAGGAGGTAAAATGTAAGCCTTTCTGTGTGTAAAGTAAAGAAGGATTTCTACACAGCTGAATAACACTGGAAGGATCATGTTAAATTTTTCCCAGCCCTACCATGTTCCATTATTAACTTATGGAGTAAAAACAAACAAAAATGCACAGAAATACACCTTATGCAACAAGGCATCCCAAACAGGATAGCTGTAGGCAAGAGGTAGGATCATTGAGTGCAGCTGGCATTACACATAGAAACTCAAAACCAGTCATGAAACAATGTATGTATGCAACACCAACTGCACCCTCAGTCTGTCACAAGGTAGGTAGCAAGGGTAATTGAACATCTGCTAGAGTTTGGCCCCATAGTTATTTCTAATTGGGTTCTTTCACTCTCTACACCTGAATTGATAGCAGGTGTTTGGTCTAAGCACTCTTTTAAACATTTTGGATGGTTCTGGCACATCCCTTTATGAGGCACCAGATGTGTAGGTCCTGAAATAGTGTCTGCTGACTTCTACCTGTAGGGAAACTGGAAGTCATATCATTAGAAAATAAATAAATGAAATGAAATAAAAACTTATTTGGAAAAAAAAAAAAAGGCATTGAAAAATGGATTAACCAGGGGGAAGGGGAAGATTTCTATTTTAAAATGCGGTTTTGAATTTCTCCAATCTTGTCAGTCCATCTGGACATTGCTAGATGCATAGTTACATCAACACATCATGTTTCATTTCGGTTCCTTTTTTTTTTTTTTTGTTCTTGTTTTTTAATGTACCCTATGGTCCCCAAGCACCACAATATGTTCCAAAAATTCCATATTACATTTTTTGTCAAAAGAGCATCAGTGAAGAACAGCACAGGGGTTACTTAGTGCAGTGCTCAGGCCAACAGGAAGACTATGACTGTCTGCTCCCTTCTATTTATACATTTTTTGGCTCCCTTATCAGCATCTTCCCTGGATATTTCACCACAACTCTAATTATAGGACTGAGGATAACAACCATCAGGAAAGCAATACTTTATTTTTATACCTACTGCCAGTAGTTTGCTACTCGCATTGCTCTAGGAAAAGAGAAAAAAAAAAAATTGTTTACAAATGTATCATTATACAGCAGATCTTAAATTGCACAACTATTAGCTGTAAGTATTGACTATTGTCAGAGCTCTGCTGCTGCCCGTGAAAAGGTCAGGCCTTTTCATTTGTGTTCTTTTTATGTGAGGAATACCAAATAATAAAACACACAATTTATTGGGCTGCTGAGATTTATTTTTTTTTTTCCATGCAGACCTGCAGAACAGTCACTGGGTTTGAATCTTCTTTCCCATTAATACAGGAACAGGGTGATATGACTTTTTTTTCCATCTTGATTAAAAAAAATAATTTCCCACACTAACACACAAAATGAATAGTCTTTATTTTCCAGGTAAGCAATACACAATTACATCTCCATGAGCTGCTTCTATCCTTAGGATGTCCATGGAGAATGGGGCACTTTTGCTTAGATGGGAAATCTCAGTTCCTTACTGGTCTATCAAGCCAACCAACATCTTTTTCTTCACTAACATATTCAAAGCACTGAGTAGCTCATTTTAAGGAATCGTATCTAAATGTAGATGTCTGAAAATATTTTGACCTTAGGATTCCTTGATTTCAAAGAGTGCCCCAGTTTAATAAACAGCTTAATAAACCACACACTTATTTAAATTCAATTAACCAAGTAACTACATGAAATTTTAATATCAGGTCATATAAGTCATATAAACAGAGCTGCCTAGCTCCATTTGTACACCCTCACAATTTCGAAATCGGTGTTAAGTGTTTTTCTGAAGCTTAATTCACTGTTGTTACACCAAGCATTATCATCTTCTAAATACCCAGAGAAGCTGGTAGTGGTTTAGAGAAAACTACACAAGACAAAATACAGGAAGAAAAGACTCTCAGCCCATCATTTTTAATTCTTCTACCACTTTGAAGGAAGTAACATGGCAAGGTGGAAACATCTACATGGTTTAGTTTAACACGAGTACTGATTAAGCATAAATAAATAAATAAATAAACAATAATAATAAAACATGTTGGCAAAGCACAGTAAAGGGCTAATCTCAAACCCAGGAATCAACTTGGCAAATATGCTGAACACTTTACATTGTGGTACTGAGTAAAGATGAACTCAGCAACCATCACAGGCCAGACACACAGAGGTCTATCTCAGCCAAAACCAGGACGGAAATGTACCATACTAAGCCAATTCACCAGGCTGCAACATGAAACCTGCAAGATGTGACTCATCTCCCCTTTCACCATCCCTGTACTGGAGCAGGAGCAACGAGCATGTGGCAGGAGACAACACCTCAACACTACCACTTTCAATGGCTCCAGTCACTTTTACTATGGAGCACCCATAAGCAGTTTTGCTCCCCTATCTGTTAGACTGCTCCTCTACACCACACAAAAGGACACGACTGCTGATGAAAGAAAGAACAATTTGGTGTGCCCGTGGAAATAAATAACCACACAAAACACTATGTCACTAGCCCTACTGTTTATTTTCATTTTATTATTATTATATCATCATCTAGAGACTGTTGAGGTAGTAAAGCACCAAAATAAGGCCTGGCCTTAGAGGTTGTGGAGTGTACGTTGTTGCTAACCTTGTTTTCAGGAACGTTGAGGCAACCATGAGGAATGGCCCAGGATTTAGCTGATCTACATTGGGGATGGAAAGGATGACTTATAGCATCTCTCAACTCCTCTAGCCTTATTTTCTGTGATCCTGTGGAAATAATACATTTATGTGGTAAATGAGACCATTCCTGTTTCTAAGAGTTAATTCTTAAACAGAGTTTTGAATAAGACTCTGTGCTTCAGGGTTTTGCATCAATATTAAGGATGCATATTTTTTTCAAAATGGTGTGGATAGAGTTTTGTCCACTTCTCTCTGAAGCATCTTGTATTGGCTGCCCCTGGGAAGGAAGATCAGAGAGACTGCACATCTGATTTGGTATGACAGCTTCACTGTTGCAAATCTTTACAGAAAAGCATTGCCATACTTCCTAACACACAGAAGAGTGCTTCACATTTCTCCCACTTTGAAAGACTTCATTATCTTGATTCATATTTTGTATGTTAAGCATAGGAGTGGCAATAAAACTACTCTTTTTCCCAAATACAGAGATACATATATACATGCACACACACATAATGCACATACATACACCTATAAACATATGTATATTTACAGATAAAAATCTGTGTGCGTGGCACAAAAGCATGGTTATTTTGTTATCAAATACAAACAAACATTGTTACTGAATTAACTGAATTGAACTTCAAAGGCCTGGGACACAGATTTAATCGTTATTGCTGGGATTTGATGACAACAGCATCAAACACGTCTCCCTTGAAAGATCAAACAATGCGCTGCTCTTCTGTTTCAGTAGGCAAAGTTTCATTCAATGACATTTTCGATCTCCAAGAATGTGAAGAAACTGATATCCCACACATTAAGGTGACTGGAAGGCTTTTCTCTCTTGCTTTTAACAGATGTTGCAAATGTTTACATTTTACCCTAGAATAATTATCAGATTTAATACCTTCAGCTCAATTAATCCTGTTTCTTTACTATTTCCTTCAATGTTAAGCATGTGGAATCAAATAAATTCATAAACTGATGTTTGGCAACCACTGAACACTGATTATCATTTGAAGTTCTGATCAATAGCTTTCACATTTGCTGCACTTCAAACTCAAAACAGTCACATAATGAATTCCACAACAAAAACTGGAAAAGGAAGAAGGCAGCCAAAACTGTTATTGTTTTGTATCAGCTGAAAATATTCTAGCTGGTCATAGAGATATAGACGAAGAATTTAGGAAGGCTCAAACACACCCAAGTGTATAGCCATGCAGTCTTGAACCTGCTGTACAAAGCTGGCACCTATAACCACTTTATGCTTCAACATCTTCATTTGCTTCTAAGTTTCTGGGTAGCTTTTGCATCTCATCTTTCTTATGTGTTCTCTCATGTGAATTTAGTATTTTTCAAGTTTTTAATCACAGAATAAAATTCAAACAATATTTTTAATAAACTAGTACATGCACACACACATATATATTCCAAGTACAGCTTTTTCATATACAATTTTCAGAATGACATAAATTACAAACAAAAATATTAGAAATAACCTTGGGACCACGTGAGCTAAAAAAAAAAAAAAAAAGAAAAAAGAAAAAAAAAAGAAGCAACACAGAACACAATGGATAAAAAAAGACATCTTCAAGTTTGCATACTATACTTACAGCTCTGCATACATCAGAAACCCAAGCATTACACTCAACATGAATCTATTCCTGGGAGAAACGATGACAGATGTTAGTTACATTGTCAAAAAAGGTACTGGAAGGCTCCCAAATACTACACCGATGAGACTGATAAGTATAAAATCAATGTAGAACAGAGACAGCACATGCAGGCATAGAGTGAAAGCTCAAGTGATGAAGGTAGAAGAGGCTACATTTCAGATACATATAATGAATTTTCCCCATTGCTGAAAGTGTATGTCCCACACTTCAGAAATCTGTGACAGAGAGCAACTATTGCCTCTTGGCCATCATGCAATAAAAAATAAATAAAATAAAAAAATAAGGCATCCACAACTAGAGACAACATTAATGTCTACATTATCTTAGACCTTTCCTCCTCTCAGATAAACATTCCTTTTTACTGATTATTCAAAGACTCCCCTAATAATATATACACTTAATTTCTCATAGGAATTTCTAAGGACAAAATTTGACTACTCTGACTTTTCTTCTTTGATTCAGTTATCTTCATTTTGCTGGGATCAGCCTAGAGATTTTACTTTCGGTTGATTGTCAGGAATTTCAGGTATATTAATAACCATTGATTAAGACTAGGAGTTTGTGTAACAGTAGCAAGTACCAGATATATGGTAAAATAACATTTGGAAAATAAAACGCACTAATTGTGATTCACTTATTGTCTCAACTGGAGTTTTATAGAGTTCTAGCATGATTATGTGCACAAGACTTTCAAAGAAATCCTTACTTTTGAATTAAAATGTCTAGGAATAGGCTGCCCAGGGAAGCGGTTCAGTCGCTATCCCTGGAGGTCTTTAAAAGATGTTTAGATGTAGAGCTTAGTGATATGGTTTAGTGGAGGACTTGTTAGCGTAAGGTCAGAGGTTGGATTGGGTAATCTTGAAGGTCTTTTCCAACCTAGATGACTATGTGATTCTGTGGAATAAAGCAAATGCATTAGAGTTTGTATTTTATTTTTCTTTAGCATTCTGAAAAATAAAATAAAATCATATTACAGCATTTATTACATACTTAGAGATATTTTATTGTTGTTGATATAGTTGTTGATCTTACTGTCTCTTTGAGCTCAGCATGGCAGCCCTTAGAACAGAACAGACAAGTGGCTGGGGACTCACACTCTCTTGTAGAAAGCATAGATCCCTCCTGGTGTCAGGAATGATGAAGGGTTCCCGTTTACTACTAAATTATGGAGCAAGAGGTCATGAGCAATTGTGTACGGATAGCAGCTTCTGTTGTTATTTTGTTTTATTTTATTTTATTTGAATTAATGTTCCCACACCTGCGCATAGGTCCCTGTCTGCTGACTTTGACAGAAAACTTTTATCCTCACAATACAGAATGCCTCCGAAGTTACACATGTGCACAGATGTTCATGCACACTGCATACGTATCACAAGCAAAAAAACTCAGAACCACAAGAAATAAACTGTTTTTCTCTTAGGGAATCTTGCATTAATCATTTATTTTTTTCTTTTCTTGCCAGTAAATGTAATGAAAACATTGGCTCACTACAGCATAACTCATTAATACTAGGACCTAATGTGTTAAGCACTGTTAGAACATCTAGCCCATTATATAAAAATGAAAGCTAATCTAAACATGGAGTCTGAAACAAAAATCTATGACCTTTTTATTTTTTATTTGGTAGGTTTCTTGCTGACTTCATTTTGCTGCTCTGTTTTCCCTACATTTTGTAGAAGCCAAAAAACACTAAGAGACCATTACAAAAGGCAGGCCACAATATAGTGATTCCATAGTACCATCTAGAGCTTGTGACTGTTATAACACCTCTAAAAAGAAAGCACTTCCCAGACTCTTGCTAGGGGCCATGGGCTAAAAAAAACACACTCCTGTATTTTTTCCAGGGCCTCAGAGGTGATTGTCCAATATAATGGAAACAGACATCGAACTGAGCATTTTGCATCCTTTATGTAGACATGCAGTTTATAACGCTGTCTTTTCATGCATACTGTTTTCAGGATGCTTTATTATTATCTTGTGGCTGACCCTTCAGAGGAAAAGCAGATCAAGAGATAAAATGGTATATTTGACTTAATCATTTTGGCATGTTGGGTTCTTTGGTCTGTCAGTGTCTCCTGAAAGCACATTTTTCACCAGTCACTGCAGACAGGCTCACAGCATGTAGCTCCCATCTCAACAGCAGTTTCAACATGACTAACTGTTGACAATATTAGAACTTTTGAGCCCTGCCATCCTTGGGCACAGACTCAAGAGCAGGCAAAAATACATGAGTCTTCACTTCAAGGATACTACCCTCCCCGCCCCGCCCCCCCCCCCCTTCACAAACTAAAGCCTTCCACCTCCCCTTTCAAATCCCATCTCAAAAACACACCATGAAACCCATTTAATTAGAAATGCTCTCACACATTCATTATACTGGCTGGTCTCAACTCAGAAAACATATTCTTCTGGCTCATTTCTATACAGAGCACCTCTGTTGAAATACTAGACTCCGTAAGGAGGACCTGTGTCTTCTCTGTGCTTTCTTATGCTAGAGGCTCAGCACTCTGGCAACTCCTAAGTATAAGTAATAGGCCATTTATAATTCGAGGTACACATGAAAGAAGGGTGAAAAGACTGACAAATGCCTCTTTCCTCTCGCTTCCTCTTCTCCCCACCTCCTTCAAACCAGCAAGTCAGCCATTCCTCTTGCCTCTATTCCATTTTATGAATCTCTCTTTTCTACAGAGACGTACCTACAGCTATCAGTGGTCCACAGTGCAGCAGAATCAATGCAGTTGATATGCGATAGAAAGGGGAAATGTTGGCGATATATGGTTCCAGATTAAATGATGCAATTTCAGGGTCAGCACTAGAGAAGGAACTTACGAAGAGGCTGACAAGTAAAGATGAATGGCAAATGAATGAGGGCAGTTACAGTATTTAATATACATTTGCCTTCTCTGAGATCTGTAGACTCTGCTACCATCTGCTGGTTTATGAATAAGAGCCAGGGAATCTATTTTAGTGGCTCTTTATACATAATCTTTCAGCTGTCTCTCATTATGAGAACAGTCCTCATTTCAGGTCACAGCCTACCTTCAGCCTCCCCAGAGCTGTCAATTAGGCTTGCTTTTGTCTCCTGACGCATTTCCGACAGCAGGCATGAGGAAGAATGACAAACAGACAGTGCAAAATTTATGCTAAGTCCAAATAATATATCCCAGAGTAATGTACATTTTCAGTATCCTGCAAAAACAAAAACAAAAAAATGAATCAATGCAATTAGTTCCAGTTTATTCTAGAGGACAGAGGGTAAGGACAGAATGAAAGGTATTCAATTTTGATTTTGAATGAACATACCCTTCATTATACTTCCCCTATACAATTGATATATAAATTGGCATACTCCACTGAAATCAAAGGAACAATACAGATTGCTGTCTTTTGAGAGTGTGAAATAGGGAGGATACATACCAGACCTTAAACATAGCTTAATGCAAAGTTATGGCCATTAAATAGAGTAAGAGAGAAAACAGGAATGTATTTCTAAACACAATACTTTTATTCAACCATTCTTCCCTTGGATGAATGTAAAAATACGTAGACACTTACAGAACTCATGAAATAAACCGGTTTCTTCAACCATTTAACCCATCAGGACCATTATGAAAGGGTAGGCAGGGGTGGCAATGAACTCTTTTTGCAGATGAGTGGCATTATAAATTGGATGCATACAATCAACTAATTCTTTGGAATTTAAGGCCAAAATAGTTCATGGTGGCCACTTACCACAGTCCACAGACTTCTACTTAGTGGCTCCTTTTTCAAGTCATTATTGCTAGCTGAGTTTGGGGATTTGGAGAAGAGAAAAACAAAGAGAAAAACAAGAGCAAAACCACTATCCTCAAGTTAGAGGATTTACTACATGCTCAGGTCATTTATGTTGTTCACTCAGCCTTATTTCTGGCAACAGTAAGGTCCACACTGGTACCAAAACAAAGCTGCAGCACTCCACATGAAGCCCAAGGAGCATCAGCAAGCCAAAGGGAGCTACAACCCTCCAATATCTACTTTGCTTCATAAGAAAAGCCCATACCATCTTTGGATAGTCCAGTTTCCTTTCCGGGGAGCTAACCAAGACTATCCTAATCCAGCTGGAGCATACTGTTCCTCACTGACATCACAGGCCATCCACATTTCATGGTAATGTCAAAAGACTGAGATTTCCTATATTTGGAGACATTGGAGCAAGGATCTCTTAGAGGCAGTTTTGAGAAAAGCCTGTAGTGAGCCTTCTGCGTTTGCCCTATACAAATTGGACTTACTCCCATCACCATTAAGCAATAGCAAGCTTAGGACATCCAGATAAATGTGCATGAGGAAAAGAGATGTGCACATACTGTTTTTGCAGGAGTAAATATCACAGACAGCCTGTGTTCACTTCGTGCCATCTAGTAAAAAGGAAACTGAGGTTACAGGAGTCAATGAGAAATCATCAACTGCATCTTCTACTCCTACAAAGGTTTCAACAGAATTCCTTTTAAAATGAAACTGGACACAGTTTCAGTAGTACATTTTCTCAAGAGAGACAGAATTAGGGCGGTTGACATATGCTGCGTGCTTTAGAGCTGAGTTGATGCTACTACAGATACAGTGCAGATGAATGAAACCATGATATAGCCTCAAGGGACTTGAAGTAGTCTAGAGATGGACTTTTCTTGGTCTAGTTCAGGCAGAGGTTTTTTTTTTTTTTTTTTAATGTTGTAGTGATAGAAAACTCTGTAAACTCTGTACTTCTATAACAACTCTATGATGAGCACACACACAGACAAAAAAGAAATATTTAAAACCATGCCTCCTAGTAAATTTAAATCTTTAACACTCCGTAGTAACGTGTTATCTTAACAATTCCTTTTGGGAGTGAAAGAGAGAAAATATCTCATGAGGACAAGCCAACATGAATTATAGACCATGCACTGCTTGTCATTAGCAAGGGTGGAAGAATGTGGGAAAATATATGATTTGACAACAACAACAACAAAAATACCAAACACAACATTGTAAAATGAATTATTGATACAATAAACAGTCAACCTGCTTCATACACTCAAGAAGCCAAACTCTAGTCACACAGTCACCCCACCCCTATTAAGTTAATTCAGTCATCTATAGGATTTTCTATCTATACGAAAGAAATTACGGAAAAATATTTTCAAAATATTTGGCTATACTTATTAGAAATCAGAAAAAGCACAAAGAAGCTTTGCAATGATGGTTCCCTTTTTCACCACACTGTTGAGAAGTGCATTTGGCTCTTATTTTTGAGACCCCACAAAGAGTCCGCAACACTTGTAAAGAGCAATTTTTCAGTTTCCAGAGAGCTACAAAGTGCTGGAAGGGGGCTAAGAAACAGCAACAAATGTAAGCATTAATGTAAGCATCAGACAGATGCAGAGGGACTTTTTCACACAATCAGCCTCACAGCCCAAAGGCACGATGATGTTCTTCATTTCTTACAGGTCCCAGGTCGAAGACCAGCCCCTTTTCTATTGAACCAGCATTTTTCGAGGGGGAAGGGAGGAGGGGGGCCAATTTCCAATTGCTGTTAGTCTTGAAGACTTTCATCTATTTGCAACAATACAGTTGAAGAGCAGATGTCTTTTTGCAGGTTTTGGAGAGATGCTACCTACAATACGTGCTTGTAGATATATACACCATATAACAGGATAGGCTGCAGCGACTTGTCTTAGTCTTAATAGTTTATCTATTAAGCTACATTAGCACATCCTAAAACAATATGGAAATAATTTTCTCTCTTTTCCTATTTTTTAAAGCATTTATCAGTTTCAATTGGAAATAAGACAACATAGGGAAATAAAATCCAGATCCTAAGATGTTTTACCAGAGAAATCAGAACAAAAATATTGCATCGTGTCATACAGAGATTAATTTTCCCACCTGTTGATACCAGAGTCCCTGCAAGATAGCAATACATTTAATCAGAGAACCATTAAAATGAGCTAAAACATATACACATTTATAGCAGGAATAGTAATAAATTTTCCTAATTTTTAAACAAAATAAAATTCAGGAGCCAGATCTTTCAGATTTGCCCACAGAAATTCTGTGATTAAAAACAAACATTAGAGCACAGAAAGTGTTTACTTTTTTTCATGAATCTGTTACCTAGCCAGTCTGTCATTTTGCATAGGCAGACCACCACAGTAAAAAATTAGAGTTCTGAATCACAGTTTATATATAGTTTAATTATTTATGTATTCATCTTCCCAAAGGAATAAACTAAAATAAATCATAAGAACATTGTCATGGGAATACACAGATGTACCTCTTATAACAAATAATAAGGCATCTAAATAGGAATCTCAAAGGAAAGGGAGAGTTATTTTGTGTCCCTTAAAATTTCACTGGACTATGAGGTCTTGCTTTTGTATGGGTTTTTCTGATATAATTACTATTTTTTAATAAGAAAACAGGATGACACACTTCAAGCGTGTATAAGAATTCAACCTGAGAAGGTAATAACAGTGCTCTCTCACCCTCTCATTCTTTGTCTCATTTTGTGCCTGCAGTAAATTAACTAAATATTCTTTGAATCACCTGGTATATTTAAGAATCATGGAAACATTTCTTTTGTTGTTAGTTCCATGAGACAATTTCCATTTTCTGTAGATTTTGTCTTCAGAGCTCATATTTTTCCCCATCAGGGAGGCACTGAGCGACTCCTCATTTACCAGAAGAGCCACATGGTTAATCTACCTGCCAGAAACTGGGACTCTGTTCTCTGCAAGAGGCAGATGATTTTGTATGTAAATCCGATACATCCCAGGCACATTCCACAATAACTGACTTACTCGTATTTCAGTTTATGAAGAATTATAGTGCTTCCCAATTCTGAATAAGAAGCCACATTTTGACTTTTTTTTTTTTTTTAAATGAGAAAACATTATTTTCGAACTCTGATGATAATCTCAGTTAATATCTTCTGAAACTATTCTTCTAGTCATAGAACCACAATTTACCAAGAGGAAAAACAAAAAACCTTCATGCTTACAGTTCAAGGAAAAGAGGGATAAAAAGGCAAAGTAAACACTGAGCTCTTTAAGAGTATCACAGAATCATAGAATATCTCAAGTTGGAAGGCACCCATAAGGATCATCAAGTCCAACTCTTGGCACCACACAGGTCTACCCCCAAAATTTCAGACCATACGACTAAGAGCACAGCCCAAATGCTTCTTAAACCCCAACAGGCTTGGTGCCATGACTACATCCCTGTGGAGCCTGTTCCAGTGTGCAACAACCCTCTCAGTCTCAGTCCCTTTTCCTGATACCTCCTCTATCACAGCTTGACACATCTTTACCTCGGGTCCTAGTAAATATGGGCAACAGTGTTGCCTTCATAATAAAACCAATAGTCAAACCTGGACATGACTAAGTCAACAGAAATATTTTCCCTGGCTTAATGAGGGCTAGGATTTCATCCTAGGTCTTTAAAGTAAGTAAAAGGAAAGAGCAAAGCTTAACTTTATAGCAAGAAAAGAGAGCAAAGGAAGTTGAAAATAGATCTTTGGATTCTTTTTTTTTTTTTTTATTTTATTTTATTTTTTAAGAGTTAAAAGGTCATTTGTCTTTACAAAAGCTAATGAAACAAATGTCGTTAGATGTTGGAGATATGAAAGGTCAAATAAATATCCTGAACGTAGAGCTAAAATGTTACTGTAGGAATAAAAGAAGGGGAAAGGCACATTTCTTCCCTTGAGGATAAAATGATTAAAGAATAAAAATAAATTTGGAAAAAAAAAAAAATGAATCTCAAGCAAAAAGAAGAAGTCCACATGCCAAAGATATGAAACAACAAGCCTGCATTCAAAACGAAATAATTTCCATGTATTAAATATCTAAGGAGCAAGCGGTAACCAGAATCTGTAGTGATCACACAATGTAGAATATTATTGAATTTGCTTTATTAAAACTTGAAATTTTATAGGAATCATGTCCATCAGGAAAAAGGAATATTCCAAGATAGAAAGATATCTATTATATTCAGTCTGAGAAATCACATTTGTTCAACAAGTGAAAGGAAAAAGACAAATTATAAAAATTCATTAAAAAAAAGGCAGCAGCAGCAAAATAAATGTTAACTTATCATTGAATCAGTTTAGCAAAGAGAACTTTAAACTCTCTATATGGATTCTTGATCTCAAGGTAACTCTTTCCAACAATCAT